TTCTCCCTTATAGTGAAGTCTGTCCAGACATCACCGCCCTGCTTCCCTTCTTCCCACCTCCTCCTGGACCAGGCCTCGGTCATGCAGGACTCCAGAGGGCACATGGTGGTGGGAAAGGCCCTGCCAATTGCATGCTCTCCTCAGGTGTGCACCCCACCCAGCTGGGCACCAAGTAACTGCACAGTAATCCTTGCTGGTAAAGGAATGAATGGGTAAAGGATGGTGGCCAATGGCCCATCCCCAGCTGCCAGTCAATACAAGGCCCATAATGTGCTCTCTAATCTCAACTCCCTTCTTACATGCTGACTGCTCCAGGTAACTCTGCAATAGTGTTTGATGGTGCCTCAGGTGCCTCCCACAGAGGCAGTATGAAGGTCCTCGAGGGTGAGTGACATGCCTTTCCCTAGGGCCACCACAGATTTAGTGTCTAGTCTTCCCTTCAGCCCTGTCAGTGACCCTCTTATTAATGTCCTGTGGCTTCAGCTTTCCCAATGTTCTCCATATCCTTTCAGGTTCCAACACCAAGACCTTGTTCTCTTTCTTTTTGGCAAGTGACTGTAGTTTCTAAACTAGTTCCTCAGTGACCCTATGAAACCCCAACAAAGCATCAGACAGCTATTGAGACAACGTCCATGCCTCAGATTTAATTCCCTTTGGCCTACTACCAGATCTCATTCTCCCAACATCTCTATACCTTTGACACCTGAACTTCCGGGCCCCTCAGAGGGCTTTCTTCTGAGTTCTCGCCTTGCCTTTTCTGGGATGTGGGCTTTTGTATCCTGCTCATATCTCCTTGCTCCCTTTCTCTTGAACTAACGCTGGTGTGTAGTGCTCAACACTGTTCTAGGTGCTGCGATACCTTAGTGAATAAAGTCCCTGTTCTCAAGGCACTTGAGTTATCACACAGAAAACAAGTTTTTGTCTCTGTCTCATCTTGCTCCAGTTCCCCAGTTCCATTACTTCCGTGACATGTCCATGTAGAACCTGCCCTCTCCCACCCCAGACTGGCTCTGGCCTGTCTTCATCTGTCCTCATTCTCCCAGTCTCAAGGTCTGGTGATGTGGGCTCGTTCTTCATTCTCCTATCTCCTCTCCTCAGTGTCTTGTAACATCCATTCCTGTCTCTTGATCCAGAGTTTCTTCACCCATCATCTGTGTTTGCTGCAACAACTTCTTAATTGGCTTTCTGATGGTGAAATGCTTCCCTTCCCACCTCTTCTAGGTGCTGCTGGCAGGCTAGTCTTCTGTGAGCACAATTTTTACCTCATTCTCCACTCCACATATCCACCAGCCAATGGCCCCACAGTCTCTGGAACATTGCACAGAGTTATAGAGGCCTATCAATTTGAACTGGTACTTTCAACTCTTTTCCTTTTTTTTTTTTTTTTGAGACAGAGCCTCAAGCTGTCACCCTGGGTAGAGTGCCATGGCATCAAAGCTCACAGCAACCTCCGACTCCTGGGCTCAAACGAGTCTCCTGCCTCAGCCTCCACAATGCCCGGCTATTTTTTGGTTGCAGCCGTCAGTGTTGTTTGGTGGGCCCAGGCTGGATTCGAACCTGCCACCTTAGGTGTATGTGGCTGGCACCTTAGCCACTTGAGCCACAGGTGCTGAGCCTCAACTCTATTCTTTTAACTTAAAGCCCTAAGCTGCACCAACTTGCCCATGATCACAGCTAGTTAGGAAGAGGCAGGAATAGGATGCAGGTGACAAAGCTCCAAGTGGACTGCCTATTTTGGGGAGATGGTTTCCTTCGCTAAGGTAAACAGTGATGAGTTGGGGAGAAATGACTTTGCAATGATAATAAGCTGATGTTATGCCACGTATCTTTTATGGGGGCAGGAAGAGGATAGATTTAAAGGGTTCAAAATGTCAAAAGGAATGTTAATAGCTGAGTATGGTGGCTCACACCTGTAATCCTCGCACTCTGGGAGGCTAAGGTGGATGGATTGCCTGAGCTCACGAGTTCAAGACCAGCCTGAGCCACAGCGAGACCATGTCTCTGGTGGACGCCTATAGTCCCAGCTACTTGGGAGTCTGAGGCAAGAGAATTGCTTGAGCCTAAGAGTTTGAGGTTGCTGTGAACTTGGATGCCATAGCACTCTATTGAGGGTGACAAAGTAAGACTCTGTCTCAAAAAAAAAAAAAGGAATATTAATATTTGTAAAGTGCTTATAACAGTGCTCGGCACATCATTAGATTTTTTAAAAAAAGAAATAGATTAAACCTCTAAGTATGTAAGAAGGAAAGGAAGCTGTTCTTATTTTTTGCTGAAAGCTTCTTTAATTTTATTTCCCAATGTAATAAGATCAAATTTCTGGTTGTAGGGGAAAGAAGTTTATTCAACTTAGAACTGTGTTATGATTAGGAGAGCCAAAGAAAGGATCAGGGCAGGAACACCTCCCACCACTTAGCAACTGAGTAGAATGTGTTTGCTGCTTGGCAGCAAACATTGCTTCTACTTGAGGGTGAGACTCTCCAAGTACTGTGGGAATCTGTGTGTGACAGAGTCCTGAGTACTCAAGAGTACTTGAAATATTCTAACTTGGTAGAATAGTTTAAGCAGTGAAACCAAAGCTCTAGAAAAGAAGAGTTCTGAAAATGGTAGTCTACTTTCCAACCAATGAAGTCCTCCAGGTACCTGAGGGGGAACTTGTCAGGTAGGACCAGAGTTTGGAAGGACTAGAAAAGGTTAACATTAGTGGGACCAGAGCTACATTTCACCTCCCCGGGACAGAGCATTATCCTCAGTCTCACTATCCTTCACATAGTACGTGTGGTTAGGTACTATTGCTGTTGGCATTGACATCCAAACTTCTTGGTCTGATGGGGCCAACTCTTGGCCCTAACGATATGGAGCAGTTCTCTCCTGGGCCTGGTGTTATCTCCTCACTGTACTGTACACAGAGTTTCCATCCTTGTCAAGCTGCACTATAAATAAGATTCTTTATCTTCCTGTCTACCTGCCAAAAGATCATCCTCCGTCAGGAGCCAGCTCAAACACCCACTCCATGAGGCTTTCTTTCTTTTTTTTTTGAGACAGTCTCACTATGTTGCCCTTGGTAAAGTGTTGTGGTGTCACAGCTCACAGCAACTGCAAACTCTTGGGCTTAAGCAATTCTCTTGCCTCAGCCAGTAGCTGGGACTGCAGGTGCCTGCCATAATGCCTGGCTATTTTTTTGTGATAGTTGTCATTGTTGTTTGGCAGGCCTGGGGCGGGTTTGAACCCAGTAGCCTTGGTGTATGTGGTCAGCGCCCTAGCCACTGAGCTATGGATGCTGAACTATGCTTGGCTCGTTTTTAAGGGATGGAGTCTCGCTCTTGCTCAGGCTGGTCTTGAACTCCTGAGCTCAAGCAATCCACCCATCTTGGCCTCCCAGCATGCTAGGATTATAGACAGGTGTGAGCCACCTCACTGGCCTTTCATGAGACTTTTCTGACCCCCTTCCTGTGCTTTTCAGAAAAGTAGCTCACCATAGGATGCCTTAGGCTTGTCCTGTGGCTACTGAGGGGCATGTCTTCCCTACTGGTTTTAGATGCCCTCCAAGCTAGAAATGATCTTTTCCTTTTTTTCTGAATAGAAAAGTGGATTTGAAGTCAAGCAGTCTTAACATACAGAGTCTTAAGGCTAGTGGTCTGGCAAGCTCCCTGGTAATTTCTCCGTTTCCACATCTGTAAAATGGCTCTAAGGTTGCATGAGAAATCAGAATACGTAAAAACTCCATAGTTAAACACCTCAAGTTGACCCAATTTCTTAGACCAAACATGCATATGGAGATATCAGCACAGTAGGTCTAGTTCCTTATGTTGACCACTTCTATATATTGTTATAGTCCCTTGGGTGGCCAACTTACAGAGGTTCTATTATATGTGTGTGTGTATATACATATACATGTAAACTCCTGCTTACATGAAGTTTTCAAAAAACAAGGTCCTTCTCTTTTCTCCATTCCTGTAACATGCTAATAGTTGTTGGATGAAGTAGGCTCTTCCTGAAGGGTGTCAGAGTACTTTGGACCACCAAGTGCCAATTTGTGGCAGTTTAATCTCTGCAAGTCACTAGGTGTCTTGCAATCTGAAGATGAAAACTGGGGGTGAAATTATCTTGTTTTTCCTTGCACTCCCATTGCATATGGTTTTGGACCCCAAGGGTGCTAAGTTAAAGTTTGTTGGAATAAGAAATGAGAGCGGGGTGGTGCCTGTGGCTCAAGGAGTAGGGCACCGGCCCCATATACCAGGCAGGGGTGGTGGGTTCAAGCCCGGTCACAGCTAAAACTGCAAAAAAAAAAAAA